GGACAGTGATGTTTTCCTTTGATGTATTTGAAAGCGAGAAACTTGTCTCTCTGGAGCACATTTTAAGAACTTTCTAAAAGTAAACAAAAAAGAAAAGATGTCGGAGCTGGGCAAAAGCGAGCGGAGAAGGAGGGAGGGACTTCCGTCTGGGCGTTGGTTTGTGTGCAAGAGCCGGCGGCTGAATGTATGGACTGTTTATGGCTGTGAATCCGACGGGAGTTTTGCAAAAAAGATAAGTTGGAATTGTGACAGCGAAAAGTGCCTGATAAGCGCTTATAAGTCAACAATTGCGAGGAGGACCCATAGAGAGTCTGGGAGCGAATATAAAAGCGAAAATGAAATTGATACCATTCTCGAAAATGGGGACCTCCGAGGCATGAAAGGAAGAGGATTTATAGTACATGAACTGAGCGTATTAACAACAACCCGAAGGAGGATCTAACAAGCCGGAAGGAAGACAACAGAGGAAGCTCCTCCACGTCAGCGATAGTAAAAGTACCCAGCACGCAAAGAAGCGGTTCTGAATGTGCACAGAAGAGACCCTTTTTATTAACAGAATCTCAAAGGAACATTACTAACATACTAACAGAGAATACATGTAACAGGACTAAGAAAAGAAGTTTGGCAACACACAGAAGAAGCCCAAGAAGATTAATTGGACATTACTAACAGTTTAATTTACCAGTTTATATATCACTCAGCTTTCTCTTTCTCCCACTGTCTACCCCTCCCTCTTTTTCTTTTAAGCGAAATACCTCCCCTTTTTAGGGGAGCCAATAAAACCTTTATTTAAAAAAAAGGAGTCTGAGAAGAGAAGGATGTGGAAGGGAGTGGGAATGTAAGGGGGATAAAGACATTGATGATGATGATGGTGATGATGATGATGATGATTGTGTGCCATCAGGTTGCAGCTGACTTATGGTAGCTCCAGGGACCATAGGATTTGAAACGCAAGGGATGAGCAGAGGTGGTTTGCCATTGCCTTCTGTCAGGGTCCTTAGTCAGGTTACGCAACACAGGGCTTCAAAAGAAGATAATGTTTATTGGTAAATCCAGTACTAGAGACACGTGTACAGCTTGTGTCAGGAATGGCCGCCAATACTAGGGCCTCTGACTTATACTAGAATCAAACATCCCTTCGGTAAGCATGAGCCAATGGATACCTCTCGTGCGCGCAGGCAAAGCAAGCAGTCAAAGCTAAAGCCGTTAACTTTCCCAGTTGAGTAAAACTGCAGCTGGAGCATCTACAAAATCAAGCATAAGATAGCAAACATTTGGTGAGCCAGGGAGAGCTGAGACAGAAAATGGGAGGGCACTCCTCCACATTCCAGAACTATGACAGGGCTACCTGACACCTTCCTCCAGATAGCATTAGCAACCCTAGTCTTCTTTATCCGAGCACTAGCCATGGCCGAGCCTGCTTAGCTTCCAAGCTCTGAGGAGACTGGGCTCTCAGGATTGATGCAGCGTGTTGGAAAACTGGTAAAAATAGTTAAATATTCAGATTTGCAATGGATCTTTGTTCAGTGGAGAGGAGGCATTTTCTTTCTATGTAAAAAGGGAAGAGTACACATGAAAACTACAAAACAACAAAGAGGACTACATGCTTGCAACAACAGACACACAGTAATGGAGATTCTTCCTTTCTTCTTGACCCCTAGAAGGAAATCACCTAAATGCATTAACCAATGATTGTTAGTAAATAGACTTCAGTTTCCCAGGCTTTCTTTCCATTGGCTTTCTGCCAGGTTCCATTCCAGGTCAGTCTAAACAATAGCATACAAGGTAAGCATATTAACCCTATAATGACTGACATTAGACCTTGCAACTCACATATTTCCAACACAGCGTACATTGGGGCCGATGGGAGAGGAAGTCATTTCCCCCGTTTGGGTTTATTTCCGGTGTTCAGTCAGAAAACAGGAGAAAACGGGGTAGACGCACAATGTCTGGGACATTTGCAGAAGAGAGCAGGCCAAGGCAGGCTTTAAGCAACCTGTCCCGCCTATCAGTTCACCCAGCAGTGAATGCCCCCAATCCACATTTTCATTGTAAGGGAAACATTTAGTGAGGAAGAGAACCTCGAAGCCTGTTGCTTCGTCCTCATGTGGGTTTGGGGAAGGAGGGGTATAATGTAATGTATTTTGGAGGGTCCATTCCCACCAGGGGAACTGATCTATGTTGTTTGGAGATCAGTTATAATAGTGGGAGACCTCCAGGCCCCACCCGGAGGTTGGAAACCCTACCCTCAGATGCCTCTTCTTCTCAGACTCAACCCTACCTGGCAGTAGAAAGCGCCGTCAGGTCAGAGCGAATTTAAGCCCTGACCTGGATAGTCCAGGCAAGCCCGATCTTGTCAGATCTCAGAAGCTAAGAGGGCTGACCCTGACAAGTACTTGGAAGGGAGACCTCCAAGGAGTACCAGACCTGGAATGCAGAGCAGGCAATAGCAGTCCACCTCTCTGAAATGTCCAAACCCTACTAGGGGTTGCCAGAAGTCAAATATGACTTCAAGGCATACACAAACACACACGCACATACAAAATATACACAAAAAGTCGTAGCCAACTTAGAGCAACCTTGTAAGGTTTTCAAGACAAGAGATTTACAGAGGTGGTGTGCCGTTGCCTGGCTCTGCACAGCAACCCTGGACTTCCTTGGTGGTCTCCCATCCAAGTACTCACGAGGGCCGACCCTTCTTAGCTTCCGAGATCTGAGGAGATCGGGCTAAACTTGGGCCATCCAAGTCAGGGCACCAACCCAAGAGGATAAAATTGTGATACAAGTTACAGCACAATTGTAAGGGTTGCTGAAAAGAGAGAAACAAAGTGTTTTGAACATTTTTCAGAAGGCTGAAGTGAACGGAATAGATGGTCTTTAAAGTGAGAAGGTTTTTTTTAACATAATTTAATTTATATGTCATCATAATGTCTTTTGGGCGTTACGATGGCCGCATGGCACCTTTGGAATCAGCCCTGAGTCTGAACATAAAATTAGGATTTATGATTTTCGTTTCATACATCTTTAGTAGAGCGGTCTTACAGTGCGGCTGTCATCCCTTAAACGACTAGAAATTTACAGTCCAGCATCCGAAAGTATTTAGAGCCATAAGACAAATTTAGTTCCCCATAACTGGACAGGCATTGTGGTGTCATATTTGCTGTTGGCTCAAGCTCCTTGGAATATTACATATTTGTCAGTGACAAAAATAAACGCTGCTGAAAAGCACGGAGGTTATGTTGCTGTTTCCCCTCAGCTTCATCGCCAGTGATAAATGTCTTTGCCTTCTTAGGTCTATTGATGGACACAGTGGTCTGTCTTTTGAGGGGGGGTTGTTTGTTTTAGACTTTAGGGGGCACAGTTTACTAATCCAGGCCAGATCTCTAAACTTTGTCTAGCGTTCAGGATATTTATTACTTTGTAAGTAAGTAAGTGCCATGACAGTTTGTCATGAGAAGTTAAGCAACATCCTGCCACTTAGGGTTTGGGCCTTTTAGGGACTGAACTGGACAACTTCTGGGCTTCCTAGACCAAAATGAAAGCAGACAGTGCCGAAAATTTGCAGTTGGGAGAACAGCCCCTGACAGTTATCCCAATGTCTTAGAGACAGCTGCTGCTCTTGCTGGCGGTGACACCTGGTGAAGCTCACTGAAGGAGCCACATGGAGAGAAAATAAAAGCAAAGCAGAGGGAAGAGAAATGATTCTACTTCCTTCACAGCTGAGAGGAACCCTGGAAGGGCAGGTCCAAAGCACCAAAGCATCAGAGTGAAGCTGATGGAGCAGGGCTTCTCTGCTCCCCCTGTCCTGAGGCCACCCACAGGAAAAAAAACCCAGTGTTCCCTTTAAGCTGAGTTAGTGTGAGCCAGCTCACAGATTTTTAGCCTCCGGCTCACTCATTTTTGTCTTCGCTCAGGAAGGACGGCTCCAGAGCAAACTGGTTTATGCAGTAAACTAATCTGGGAGAACCGGGTTTGATTCCCCACTCCTCCACTTGCACCTGGCTGGATGACCTTGGGCAAGCCCTAGTTCTGATAAGAGCTGTTCTTGAAAAAGAGCAGTTTCTGTCAAGAGCTCTCTCAGCCCCACCTACCTCACGGGGTGTCTGTTGTGGAGAGGGGAAGGGAAAGGAGTTTGTAAGCCCCTCTGAGACTCCTTCGGGTAGTGAAGGGCGGGGTATAAATCCAATCTCTTCTTCTTCTTTTACCTCACAGGGTGTCTGTTGTGGGGAGGGGAAGGGAAAGGAGTTTGTAAGCCACTCTGAGACTCCTTTGGGTAGTGAAGGGCGGGGTATAAATCCAACCTCCTCCTCCTCCTCCTCCTCCTCCTCCTCCTCCCTTCTTCTTCTTCTTCTTCTTCTTCTTCTTCTTCATCGCCTGCTCACAACTTTAATGCCAGTAGCTCACAAAGTGGAATTTTTCCTCACAGGACTCCACAGCTTAGAGGGAGCATTGCCCCCCACCCCACCCCAGTTCTGCTCCCAGAGGTCAAGAGATCCTCAGGAACAAAATAAAGGACAAGTGGGAGCCTGCAGTGGGAAGAGAGAACTGGTGGGAAACGTCTTCTCATCAGCCACGGGCAGTGATTTTTCGCCAACAGAATTGCCACGACGGTGGCCAAATGTCACCCATCCCCAGCGTCACCAACATAAATTCAGATTTTGTGTGGAAAGACGCGTTTGCATATTCATGCTGCTTGAGATGGTATTTCTTCATATTCCCTTTCTGCTGCGTTCCTGGTATATTGTGTCAGCTCCAACTTCAAGATGCAGAATTGAATAGGCGTTATTGCATACCTTGTGCTGGGGGCTTTCTCAAAGCCAGGTAGGACAGTGAGTAAAGGGGGTAGGGACTTGACATAAGGATGCTATTTTGGGAGGCAGTTCCTGGGTCCTTGGTAATGAATAGCTCTATCCAAAAGGAGAAATAAACTAATTTGTTTGGTTTGATATAGCTGTTGAGAAAGATCTCCCTCTGAGTGTTAATGTTTTTTGTCTTTCCAGGTTAAGTGAAGGGGAGAAATCACTCTGAAAAACTATAGTCGGCTATTGCAGATCCTGGTCAAGAATGAACGCAAAGGATCCAAAAGTGACAGAAGGAGGCCTCAACGTCACACTCACCATACGACTTCTCATGCATGGAAAGGTAACTAACTGACTTGCCAAGGAGATCCTGGGGGGCGGCATGATAGTGACATTTACATTATACTCTGTGTGTGTGTGTGTGTGTGTGTGTACGTAAAGTGGTGTCAAGTCACAGCTGACTTATGGTAACCCCAGAGGGTTTTCAAGGCAGGTGAGAAGCAGAGGTGGGTTGCCATCGCCTTCCTCTGCAAAGTCTTCCTTGGTGGTCTCCCGTCCAAGTACTGACCCTGCTTTGCTTCTGAGATCTGATGAGATTGGGTTATAGACCATGCCATTCCACATCCCAATACTATACTTCACCAGCTCACAATGTTATCTTTAGAGGAGGAGCCAGCATTTTAGCTCTTTGTATGCTTCAGCAAACTAGAGATGACCAATGCATAGAGCAGCAATGGGATTGCCTGCGTTTTCCTGTGTTCAGCCTCCGTTTTCCTGTGTCTTGCTGGTTTCTAATGTGTCTTGATGGTTTCTAATTCTAAAAGAAATAATGGCTTTTCTTCAGCTGTTCTCCCCCCCCCACCCCATTCTTAATGTGTTCCAGTGTGTACTTGGCTAGTATAAACATAATGAAATGAACAACAGTAATAAAAATGTGTGCAGTGTTTTAGAGTATTCAGAGTCCTACATCAGCTAGTAATCCTTAATAAGGGGAGGACCTGAGATGGTGACTTCTCCTAGCCATCTAGAGCAGGCGTGTCAAACATACGACCCGCAGGCGGGATCTGGCCACTGAAGGGCTCCAATCTGGCCTGTAAGCAACTGGCTCTCTGCTGCTTCCTGTTCATGTTTCCTGCATCACAGCTCCTTTTGCCCAGTCTCTTCTCTTTCCTGCTTCACAGAGGAGAGAAAGAATGCCAAGCCTCCCTTCCCTAGATTGTCTGAGGGCTCCTCCCCCTCCTCCTCTGGGGAGGGAGGGAGGGAGGGGGAGGAAAAGAGTCAGAGAGAGAGAGAGAGAGAGAGAGAGAGAGA